AAATGATTTTCGGACGGCCGATTGGACACGGGGATCTCTCTCAAAGATCCTAGATCCTTCGGTGGTTGGGCGGATCCGCGGGAGCGTCATAAACGCGCCCCCGGGTCTTCGTGGAATAAAAAGGACGACAGAGCAGAGCGCGAGGACCGTCGTAATTAAGTCGTACTAAAATTCCCTCGTGTCTCGCGAGAGCTTTGAGAAGCGGCTCGAATTTTACGACGGCCCTCGCAGCAGTTTGCGCGTCGGTGTATGCTTGAACGTGTCGATCGGTTACTCCTTTATTTTTTTTTTTTTTTAGTCAGGATTAAAACGTAAGAAACGTTGTTGCAAATGTGCGCCTCCCGCGTGAGACCGATGTTTATATGACGTGTCACGATTTGTCGTCCTCGTCAGCTTTCTCCGCGTCGTAAATGAGAGTCGGAACATAATTAAAAACGGGACTCAATCGAACAGTTCATGCGATGTTTCTGTCTCGCTTTTCTAACGCATGACTACACGAAGCGAGGGATTACAAAATGGATATTAATAATACGCTGTATTAATAATACTTTTTTTTTCGCCGCATACTAAAACCGTGAAGTTTTAAAGCGCGAACTCTCTCTCTCTCTCTCTTTCGATCTCGACTTTTTTATTGTCCCCTCTCATTGATGTCTTCATTTGCGGCGCGGCCATGCGCGGGCTCTTTTCCCGTGACGCAAAAAGCGATGAGACGCGAAAATTCTCTCGAGGCGATTGATTTACGGTCGCGCAGCGCGCACCGTAAACCCGTAACGGCGTTATAGAAATGAAGAGACTTAATACACCGATGCTTTTGTTACTTCGCGTCGGTTAACACGGCGCCTTCTTGCGTTTCCCTTCAGCCTCCACCGAGCATTCGCTTTTTCGCCGCGCCGTTCGCACTTTTCGTCTTGTTTTCTATCGTAAAAAACAATTAAGCCGGACTAAACCTTGATTGTAACTGATGAGGGATAAAAAATCAGCCGAAACGTGTCTAGCAAGAGCAAAAAATAATAGATTCATCGAAATTATACTTCAGGATCTTTTCTCTCTCTCTCCCTCTTTCCAATTATTCTATTAGCTTATTTTGCAGTTCTCCAACTCACGTTTTCAACAACAATAATTTAATAATAAAAATAAATCAAATAAATTAATTTTCGAATATTGATTATAGTCTTCTCTGACAATATTCATGTTTTCATTATAACAATTTTTTCGAATCTAGTATTTTTCGCATTCGTCACTCAATAGTACGAGCAAAATAATTATTGATCGCGGAATAAAAAATTCTCATGCGCCAGTGACTCTCGTATTTCGTGTGTTCTTTAATAATTGTCTGGAATAGGAATCATTAATGCAATATACACATTCTCAACTCTCGTGGTGATTCACCGTTTTCCCTATTCATTAATTACCTCGCACGGCTACCTGATCGGTCGGTATCGCCGACCACAACTTCGTGGGCTTCGATAGCCCGCGGTCAGAAAGACTGGATGCAGTCTTGTATAAGCACACAGTATACATACTTGATCCTTTCGTCAGCGGTCGTAAATTTGTAATAGGGTACTCGCGATATATAACACCTCTCTGTAAATCTGCAATATTTGCGTGATATTTAACGCCTCGATTGAGCGTCTACATATAGCAATATTAATTTTTCCCTTCCGATGTATAAATCAATTTTGTTCATAAATATTGCATAAAGAAAGATAATGATGAGAGTTATAATAATAAGATAATAATGAAAGTTAATAATGAGCATGAAATGTAATTGTATAAATGTATTTAAAAAAAAACGGCCTACTTAATCAAGACTATTTTAAACATCAAGTCGTAATTATTAAGCAAATTAGCAATCACGCTGCTTATTAAGTTCTCTGGCGAGCATTGATAACGCCTAATTATGAATTGCAAGTAACGCCATCGTAGAAAGAGATACCCGCTCATAGTAATCTATTCTCCCTATCAAACCATCAACAAAACATAACCACTCATTAAGTACTCATGTGCGCCGGCAGCAATTAAAATCTTGCATACGCACAACTCCCGGAAATGCGTCGAGCGATCTGCGAGCGCGCCGGATCACCTCTAAAGCTAAAAACGGAAAAGGCAGGTGCGCGTGTCCTTGGCCGTGTCGGCTCTAGAAGTACATGCGATGATATAAGACGCTCCCGAGCACCATTATTTCGATAACGTTGTCATATAAATTTCAAATATCGCATCGCACAATGATTGCTCCAAGAATCGGCAGCGAGTCCCGACCGGACGTCGCGACTTTCGCGCCGTTATTTCGAGCGTGAAAATTGTCGCGGGCGACGAGAGCTTTCGGGATGGTCGACGCATGATATTGAAGCGATGTCGGGCTACTATTAGCTGGGTTTTATTGGTACACGAGCCAGCCGTGTGCCGGCTGACCTACGACCGCCAACAGTTAATCAATGCTTTTATGAGCATTCGCTTGGCAGTACACCGTCGTTTCAAGCCGCGGCCCGTCCGGCCGAACTCACCCCAGCCACCCCGCCGACCAACCAACCACCCACCCAGCCACCCCACGAGCGCGACACGCTTCCCACCCCTCCCTCTCTCTCTCTTTCTCTTTCCCTTTTCTGCGCGTATGTATGTATGTATGTCGCATGCTCTTCGAGCAGCTACCCGAAAATTTGCCCCGCTATCCGTTGAACAACCGTACGATTACGCTTGTCGACGTAATGCATTAGTTGCAACGGCGCGAGCGTCGCCGATGAATCGCGAGCTCGTTCGCGCGATTCGCGAGGCATCGCGATGCGTCATATTCAAGCGCGCTTGAAGGAAAAGTCACAAATTTATTAACAGTAAATTTCGGTCGTATATTTGAGCTAATGCTCGTCATACTCGCCCAAATGCGCAAACCAGGCCGGATAATTGACTTAGTTCGCGCGCTAATAAACAATTCGATATGCATTAGGTCATGTAATATAAATTGCGCCGGGTCAATTTGATTAATGATACCTCCGCGATCGATGTATTAAACGATTAGGACGGAATTCTGTTAGCTATTTTGGTTTCTGAAAACTCTGCCGTCTTAACAGATCGTTTGAGAAATAGGGAACGTGTGTGCGTGTGTATGCGTGTGCTTGCAATTCAAACGCCATCTCATCATGACGCGCACGCGACTTCAGCTAAACATCCGCTTTCAAGATCCTCACCTTCGCTCTTTCTCTCTCTTTCTTTCTCTCTCTCTCTCTCTCTCTCTCTCTCTCTCTCTCTCTCTCTCTCTCTCTCTCTCTCTCTCTCTCTCTCTCTCCCCTCTCTTTCGGTCTCTCTTCCCGTCCACCTACAGCTATTTATTTTTCTCATCGCTTTTAATTTCGTAGAGATAACATTGATGCGTATCGGGCGTTCTCGCACACGCACAGAAACTCACACGTACGTCGCGTCGATCCATTGTACTCCATGCGTTCCCGAATATGTGTTTCGCGCCCGCTATCGTGATCGGATCTCCCTTGTTGTGTTTATTAATTGTCTTACGGGAAGTGCCGCATTCACCGGGCGAAATTGAAAAAAATTGCTCGCTCGCACATCTCCCACCTCCGCAGGACTCTCGTTTCTCTTTCTCTCTCTCTCTTTCTCTCTCTTTTTCCCTCTCTATACATCTCTTTTCCTTCGCGTTTAACTGCTAGTCGCGATACGTCAACGCGCCCGTTTTAGCCTTTTAATTTGTTTCCCGGGCGACGCGTACACCGATCGTATATTTTAGACGAACGGATCGGGCGCAATCGGGATACCGAAGTAGCCGCGTGACGAGGGGGTGGCGAGGGAAGCAGGGGGCTGGCTCCAATCGTAAAACAATTATACAATTACCGCACGGCCGTAATTAATTGCCGGCCGTTTCAACGTTTACCCCGACGAGCGCGCGAGAGAACGAGCACGGCTGGCTGCAGGCGCGGGCCCGCGCGAGCGCCGCGGCATTAATTCATTAACGTTGCACCGTGAAACGTATTTGCCCGTAAAATTGGTCGGCCCGGCATGTTCGCGATTATTTGCTTAAACAATTTCCGAACGTCGATGGACGCCGCCGCCGTATGACGTGATTTAACGATTTCCTTCTCTCGACGTGACGGCAATAACGGTCCCCGTTTCTACCTCTCTCTCTCTTACTCGCGCTTTGTCTGCGCGTCCCCTGATAATAATATATCTGTGAAATAAGCGCATCCCAACCGTTCAAAGCGCTATCGCGCAGCACAAAGAGTCTGCGCAAATAAACCAATGAATATTGTATGCATATTTATCGACCTTTCGGATGTTTCCAACGAGCTATAAATATCGCGTAAGGATGAACAAAGTCGCGCAAAATATAATATTATTAATCGCATTGTGTTGTTAATAACGGCAAACATCATTAATAATTGATAAAATGTTCATTATTAATAATTTATTAGATGCGGTGCGCGATGCGTAATGCGACGCGATATGTCGCCAGGAAAATCGAGAATAGCGGAGAAGCTGAATCGGAATCCGTTGATTGGAAATGTGAAGACAGAGCGCGAGTACCATTTACGTAAAGGGATCGTACAATATCCCGGCTATCGGTGACCGCCACCGCAGGCCGCAACACGACGGTGCAGTCGCAGTTAATTTGCTCACTCCAAGTGTGTTTGATTCCCCTAATTAATTGATCGGTAGGGTCACCGTGTGCCGGAGCGCATATACGGATGGCAGTAATCAAGCGCGTGGCCCTCGCTACGCACGTCTATTTGCCACGTACGTGCTCTATTTGGCATAACCGCGCTCCACCGTCTGTATTTGTTAGCCTCAAATTTCTCGCGTAAGAATCACGCTCAAAAGTCGCAACATTTAAGCGCGGAATGTCCAGTGGTCGAATTGAATCGAAATAATATCACAATCACAGGTTGACAAGAACGATTTCGCAATTACAAATATTTTCCATGAGACATAGCTTTTTCTATTATTTTAATGCGTTTCTTTTTAGGCGCGGAATAATGCAAAATATACTGAGGACTCACCGAGGTGTCCGTTCTCGTAGTAATCGCCGTTGTCCATCCTGTGCTTCTTCAGGGAGTGCTGCGGATGATGGCCAGCCGCGGCGGCTAGGTGGCTGGCCGCGAGGCTCAACCCAACGGAAGCTCGCTTTGGGGGTCTTCCTGGCCTGGAGCTGTACAGTGAGAGAGAGTTACTGTGGTTAGAGACACCTGTCATCGAGGTAATGTCTTACCCCGATCGTCCTGATCGCGATATGCATCACGACCAGAGTTATCTGCTGGAATTTGAGGAAAGATCGGCGAACCCTTGCGCGAACGGAAACGAGTTCCCCGATTCGTTTGTGCGATGGCAATCTTCGCGGTCGATAAAATGCGGCGAGAAACGAGGAAGTTGAAACTGCGAATTATTAACGACTGATAATGTTGCGAGCCGTGAATTGAAATTGGCTGCGTGCCGCAGGTACATAAAAATGCTTTAACGATTGGCTGCTGATCTTTCCTCTGGAAATAAGTCTGATTTACGGTGCCTCGAATGTGTGTGGATCTCAAGTTCAGATTTTGAGAGATTACTTGAGAGAAAAGGAATCTCAGAAGGTACCGCGCTGCCGCGCGAACCATTAAAGGAACACCCGGCTCACTGGCCGAGGAACCAATTTGAAAACCTTAACGACTAATCTACGTAGATCGTGCGAACGTTTCGAGAGCAGACTCTTACATGACTAAAGAAAAATGAAAGTCATCTGGAAAACTAACACATGGTTTTGTATATGTTACCGGGTGTCAGACAAATTTGTACAGCCATTTCACACGCTACTTCTTAAAGCACACAATATCATACATGTATAAATTAAGACTCACTGATGAAATATGTAATTTATTAGCTGTAAAATAATAATTAATAATGTATATAAATAATTGCGTATATAAAGTCAAATTGTTTTTACACTTTATAAATTGCATTTACCTAAGTTTTTTTTGCAGTTTTTTAAATAAAATCTTCAAGATGTGTTTGACAAAATCGTGTTCTGTAAATGTAAAAGATCCTGCGATCCACTGCTATTCTGCAAAGATTCATGCCTCAAGTTTCCGGCATTTCAAGTGGCCGGCGTTTTCTTTGATGAGCATCACTGGCACCTTTCCAGCTTTGTCGGCGGCGAGGCAGACGAGAGAGATCTCCGTTGAAACAATCTGTACGACAGTGGCGATGATACCGGTGCGCTCGGGGGAGGGAGATTCATTTTTCATAGGCGGCAGGCGCCAGAGAGACGCTCACATCGCACACACGGGCGCGCACATCATCGCGACACAGCGCGGCGCGTACGAAATGTTTACAAACTTGCCTTCTGTTGCAGTGAAAAAATATCCGGGACTTGTTGCCTTTCTTTACCTTCAACCTGTTTAACCGGGAATGTTCTCAACGTTTTCAGGTCACGATATATTTTCGCGTTATCTCAACAAAAAAGAAAAAACAAATTTTTATTAATTCACCTTCGATCGAAAACATGTGAAACATAATCGAGACGCACTTTCAGAGATTCAAGGTCCTTCTCTTAATTACGACCGTGCGTGGTTATATTTTCGCGGAGTAGGCGGAGGCTGAGCACCGCTAACCGGTAAGCGAGCAATCTCATAGTAGTCAAGACAGATTTGTAAATCTAATTTTTCATCCCGTCTTTCGCGCTCGCCCTTGCCTCTTCGTTGTCCAGAAACTTCCTCATGTTCTCGTCAGTGTCTCACTCTCCTCTTCTCGGCCATCCTTCGCTTCCTTCGCCTTCCCTTCCCGCCCACTCTCTGTCCTGCCGACGTTCTTTTTCGTCTTGCTACTTGTCTCTCTCCCTTTTTCACCGCCGCCTCTCACGCACGCGGGATCCCCAGACAATTCTCAGACGGCCGGTTTATACGGCGTTGATCTCTTAAACCGCTTAGCTTCAGGTTACACCGAAAACACGAGCACACTTTCTGGCCGCTTAGACCCCGCATAATGCGCATTTGTTTGCGTACCGCGCGATCAGCGAAATAAGGCACCGATCCGGCGCGAGCGAGGCGCGTCGCCTTCCCGGCGATTGGAAATCTAACGCGAGCGGGTTGAAACGATATATTCTCCGGGGATTGCGACACACACACTCGCGAAAATATCTACGCTTCCACGTACCTGTTGATACAATTCGATAAAAAAATATTGAACAAAGTTATTCATCTCATCGCACGTACTTAACATTCATTTGTCTCTTCGAACCGAATTCCCTCTCGCGAACGAATCGAGAAGAATTTACGTAACATCTGCATTACGTGGACATCGTGACGAAACAATAGCGGAGCAACGATAAGACGGGCGTGGAGCAGGCCATTGGCCAACACGAAGAGATCAAGAGATCGCTAATAATCGCGCGTTGCGGCAACAACAGCCGCGCTACCGTGTCTGTGCCGAGGAAAGTGATCCGTCTTTCGAGATGAGCCGGAGATCGGCGATCTGCATCGACATGTAATTACTTCAACGATGGATTTTGCAACAATCAATTTGAATTATGAGACAATTAGAACGCGAGAAAAATAAAACGTAAATAATTCCGAAAAGGGCTTTATTTTCCGCAACCACCATCGCGATAGTTCGCTCGAACAGCTTGTCCTTGTACTTCCCTGTCGTGAGTAATTATTGACAAACTGGTTTAAATTTAATGCCGTTGCCAGAAGGTTCCAGATAATTACATGTGTTTGAGCTATTGCTTCCCCTTTCGGACGTTGTCCTCGAAAGTGTCCTCCGCGAAGATCGAGACGATCTTTAAGACGGAATTTACGAGTGCGTATCGCGCGAATTATATATACGAGTGAGTTGCAATTAGCGTGTTTAATCGTAACGAAGATCAAAGACTTTGCGAGTTTTCGGGCCGTCCGACTGTTGTCGCGTGATTTATACGGTCGGGGCAAGACAGACATCCGCCGCGCTCATTTCACAAACGAATCGCATCAGCGAGTATACCTCTCGAGCGGGGCTGAAACGGTTAGGCGGCTGAAAATTATCGCCCAAACGATCGTTTTGAACGTTATTCGGCGCGGTGCGATCGATCGATTAGATTCGGCCGCGCACACTTCTATATTGTACTTGGCCGGGTTCTCATTCGGAATTGCGTGTGGGCATTAAAAGTTGCCGATGATCGGGCCAGGTGCTATGCTCCGATCCCGATCGTTCCCCGCCCTAATGATCGTTGCACCTTCGGTGGAGAACCAGATCGCATCCACGGTGAGGGACAGACGAATCGACGACGCAATCGGCGGGAGAAGGAAGAAAGAAACGGAGAAATGCGCGGAGAGAAGGAAAGGGCAGCGCAAAACGCAAAGGAGAAGTAAACGGACGAAAAAAGAAAGACGGAAGGAAGGATGAAGGGAGCGGAATGGGGAGTCCGCGCGGCGCGACTCGCGGGGAATTACATGGCTTTCGTAAGCGATGGGGCGTTTAACGATCTATCGACTTCGGAGTCTTTAGTTCTTTCAAACCGTTTGCTCGTCCATGCGTATCCGGTGCAGTCGCGCTGTGTGCCTGGCGAGCGGCGCAAAAAAACTCAGCGCAACCGAAACGCAGCGAGCCGATCGAATCGAATCGAATTCATGATTCGAATCCGTGGCAAAGGTGTCGGGGGATCCCGGATCGGCATCACGCAGGTGGAATTGTTCGCGTCTTAATACGCGCTGACCTCTGAGTTGGCGGATTCGAGCGAAGGAACGGAATCCGCGAAATCGAGCAAAGAAAAGGAGATTGAGCGGACGATGCGAGGCGCGGGATAGATCGAGCACGTATTCAGCCGTACGTGGAAGTGGTACTCGCTTAGATCGCCGATCTGATATTAAGCCTTAAGTAGATGAGCGCGGTGTGATTTATAGCGGGTACCTTAATTGTCTTAATTATGCGGCAGCCGCTTCCGTGGAAAGCGCAGGCACCGCGCCGCGCGCAATCGACCTCGGTGTAATTTAACGTGAGCGTTTTCTCGCGATTCCTGCTGCACTTCTGACAGCTCCTGCGATATCCATTATGATAAACTCTGACGATAAACCACAATAATTTCCCGTTAAAATCGATGTGAGACAAGTCTCCATTGTGCGTCGTCCAAAATTTCCTTCATTCGGAATCAAGGGAAACGGATGTGAATATCATTATTTTCCCATAGGGAGCAATTATGTTATTAATTTAAATCGTACTTTCGCCGTGGCAGAAAATAAATCAACACGTGTGCAATTAAGAAGCCGCCTGTATTCTTTCGCATATTAGAAATTGTGTTTGGATGACGTTAATTAGTTTTCTCAAATCACAATTGATATTATCAAACCGAATTCAGTGCCTGAGTTTTCTTCGTACACTTCCGCCGCCACGCTCGCCCGTTATTGGTGCTACAATAGTGATTACACTGTAACGCAAATATTTGCCATTCGTGTTTCGCGTTCCGAACGATCATACGACGTTAAGGACGGACGGTAAGAGTGTGCCGAGCAAAAGGAGAAAAGATGGGAGTGAGATGCGTGTGTCATGCGAGCAATATCGCGTGCGTGCTATCCTGTGTACGCCACATTAAACCGGTATACATGTGTAAAATTTCTTGCAACGCCATCGGCGTGTCTTGTCAACGTAACGGGAAGTCTATGTCACTATTAACAAAGAGATGAAAATCTTTTCCGGGCATAAAATTTGCATTTGACCGAATTATTAAAAAATAATATTACTATAAAATATTTGAAAAAGTTCTAAAAAAAATGGCAGAGTAGCTTGAAAAAAGATAATGTACAATGTTTATAAAAAAAATTATTGTACCTCGATGAAATAATTTTAGATCCGTGATATATTTGGCTTTATAGATTATTAATTTGTAACATTTGAGATACAGATTTCTTTAAATAAATATTTGTACTATGAAATTATTATTTCTTTATCTTTTCATCAACATACGCAGAATTTCATTAAGAAGAAAAACTTAGTCGATTGCTTTGAGATACGTCAATTTTTTTTATCACAATTTAATACGAGTTTAATGTATTTATTGTAGAACGAAAAATGCCACAATTTGACGAGCATATCGGCAGAATAATCCTCGACCGTGAATGCGATGGCACTTTGGTGAATTCAACGCGTCACGCTGCCTAACGCTTGCCAGAAAAGAGTCGAAATGAGTAGAACGAGGCGAGAGAA